GAGCAGCGGTGCTTGCTGACGCTCAAACACAGGTCTTCCGATGGAGGGACCTGCCGCAGGGGGAGGCCTCTCAGCCCCCACAAGTCAAACTGCACAGAGTCACAGTTAGTCATCGTCGTCATCGTCGTCATCATCATCATCATCATCATCGTCATCATCATCGTCATCGTCATCGTCATCGTCGTCATCATCATCATCATCTTCAGTATTTATCTTCCCAGAAAGCACGTCCTCTATCCAGTCCTCCAGCTCCTCAGCCGTGGGCAGGTCATCGTCATCCCTGATCTCCATCCAGATGCTGTCAGCCTGCGGGGACAGGTGATGGGGGATTAGCCACCCCCAGAGACAGGGAAGAGATCAGGTTCGCTGCTATTGAGGGGGTAAGGGTTGGACCCACAGGTGGGATGCAGGGGTGGTGGTGGCATTAGCTCCTTCTCTGCCCCAGCCTGTGGGCAGGCTCAGCCACAGTGTCTCTCTGCCCACACACTGGGATTACCACTTCCCCCCTGAAGAGCCATTGCTTCTGACTAGGGGTCCATAAATGTGTGGTACTGTTTGCCCTGGGTTAGATGTGTGCCATTCCTCTCCTGCAGTGCCTACACCTGTGAGCAAGAGCACGGTCCGCCTGATGCATTATCCTCACCCTGTCTGGCCAGTTCTGTAGACTCCAAATCTACATAAAGAGAGCATAAAAAGACCTATGCCAGCTCCCCCTGCATCGCCTCAGTTCACAGGTTATCACAGCATTTCCCTCTTTCCTTCCAGAGCCCTTTTGGACCTATTCCTTTGAGCCTTTACACCCTGCTCTCAGCACCCCTTCTCCCCAGCCTCTTTTACCATCACCTTTGCCTCAGGATGTTGCTCTGGACTCTCCACATGTGATAGCGGTTGCTCCTCTTGGAAGAGCCCTTCCTCAGATCATCTCAACCATGCTCCCGCTGAAGAATGGTGAAAAATGCCAATGCCCTATACTACAGGTGCCCCCTGCTCTTTCTCTCCAGCTGTCTGTGTTACTTCCATAAACTGGAGGGGATAGGTAGATTCAGTAAGAAGATGCTGTCTAAAATGCAGTGAGAAGATGCTGTCTAAATTGCAGCTATTAGCCAGGGACAGGAAGCATAGCTTAGACGGTCTCTGAGACCTGGAAATGAAAGGTTTTCTCCCTGCTTTGCTGTAGTTTCCTTGGGTAAATGCCTGGGTAAGCCCCTTTCCCTTCACTGTCTCCCCTCTGTAAAATAGGATCAACCTCCTATTTCGCAGAGGTGCTGTGAGGTTATCCCGTTCAGCATTTGATGTTGCAGAAGCAAGTGCTTTTCATATGTCAGAAGAAAACTACTGGCTTTTGCAAATGCGACCCACTTCTTTCCCTTTCTGTGGTACCTAATTCTCTTTGTTGCATGGCTTGCTAAAAAGCCAGACCAATTCCTGC